ATTTGAGACTAATTTCTTTTTGGAAATGCCTATCCTTCACTGTCTATGAAATATTAAAAAGCTAGTAGCTTTAGCTCAGGAAAAAACTGATTCTTTGAAGTCCAACATTAGCCAAACCCAGATGGTAAAATCTTGATTTGGTTGTTTGCATGCTGGCATTCAGACACAGTGAAAGCACGGAGACAGAACTACTCTTACATATGCAGATAAACGGGAGCTTTCTAAAGGTTCTGTCCTATCAGAATCAGGTTTAAAAACCTTGAAAAGCCAGAGGAAATCTGTATCTGTTGGCTGACATGCAAAAGCTGTCTTTGTCCCAGCTTTCTGTGTAGTGTCAGGGCCAGTCATTACAATCAGCCTCACTTTTCGATCCAGCAAGTGGCAGTTGCTGGACTTGCAGAAATCTGGCATCACCCTTTCAGTCTCTAGAAGTCTTTTTATACCTGTCACCTTTGAGACTGGATCACTAGAGTCCCCCATCTGCCTCAGCTCCTGATCCTCTGCCAAACTGACCATACCCAGGTGCCATCTCCCCTCAGGGGCTCTACCTGACCCAACAGGCAGCTCCTAAAACACTGGCGTACAGAGGACACTTCTGTTTTCTGGTGTCCAGCTATAAAATACATAAAATATTGTACTTGTATGAATTAAATTATTCTGCCATTTTCAATGTATGTTTTAGTGAGAAAAGTCAGGAAACTCCTGGATTCTTGTGGATGGAAGGAAACAAAAAAAATAAATAAATCAGCATTTTTCTGATCAAATCTACAGTAGGTTCCGACTTGTTTACAAGTAAACCTGGGATATTTCATTAACAGATTTCTTTTTACTGAATGAATCATAGGTGTACATACAAGCAGATTTTGCAACCTTGATACCATGAAGCAGTAGAAAAGGCAATACTTGTGTAAGGCTCTAAGCAGAGACTCAATAAACTGTCAAAGACAATGTCAGTGCCTTTAAATCTCCAAGTCTCTTCCTGGGAAGAAGCAGACTCACAAAGCCCACAAGGAGCATTCCTTTTAGATAACCATTTTGGTATCTTCTTGCTTCTCCCCAATATTATTCTTCACTTCATAATTAAAAAACAAAACAAAACAAAAAAGTAAAAAACAAACAAACAAACAAAAATACAAAAAAAAAAATGTTGAAGGGTGGAAATTATTTTGTTTTATAAAATATTTATTAAGACACACCATGATTTTTCTGAAAGAATTTACATTCACAAGTAATTATCCTTTCATATTTTTACAATAGTTTTCAATTTGATGCAGATATAATATTTTATCATATTTTTTGAATCATTGGGTTTTTTATAAAACTCTAGCTTGACAGCTGCATTTATGCTGAGTTTAAACTCAGAGCTAATGTTTCACAAATTATTCCAAAATAACAATCACTGAATTAACAAAAATTCCTAAACCATATGGCACAGACAGCTTTTTGGTTCTAAAATATTTCTTCCTTCTTTATTATTAAGTAATAAAAAATGTATTTGTTTTAAAATCAACCACAGGCATGTTGCAGACTTTTGCCTCTAGTGGAACCCACAGATTGACTCCAAGTCTCATTCTGAATTCACACTTTGTGCAGATACTTACTGTCCAAAGGGACCCATAACTTCACAGCCTCCACCTTAGTTCAGCAAAATAAAACAAAACATGCTACTATCACTTAGTGTGTGACCAATAATTGCTCAAGGAGCACAGCTCTGTTAGTCATGACTGCAAGCCAGTGTGAGACTGCATGAAGGCAATGTCTAATAAATCACTTGTGCTAAGCAGGGACACAACTCCTGTCAGGAGACACAACTGGCTGCACCCAATTAAAGTCCAGGGATTGCAGAGAAACTGGAGACTTCCAATGATGTGTGGCTGGTTTCATGTTAGAGACATTTCTTTATTTGTATTACTTAGTTCTTTCCATCAAATCATTGAAAAACCATTTCCTTAGGCTGTTGTAGCATGTGCAGAAAAAAAGTATATAAAACCATGACAAGAAACTATAATAAAAGAAAAAATTGGAAAAGGAGCAAGATGCAAAGAGAACAGGAGAGCAACATTAGGAAAGGAATTCAGGATGAATGAAAATTAAGCAATTGAGCAATTCAGTGTATAGTTGAGTTTTAGATTACTTGAATACAAGGAAACAGAAAAAAAAATAGATTCAGGAAGAATCTATAACTTAGATGTGGAATCACTGGAAATAAAATGGAGACCAACATAAAGAAGAGCAAAGAATTGAGCACTGAAGCAAAATCACTATAAATAAGGTGGGGGTACAAAGGACAAGATGAGAACAGGTTAAGCAATATGAAAACTAATGGGAAAGAGCAGCTTAATGTGGAACTACTCAGTTGCCCAATAAAAGCACTGCAGCATTTGTCCAAATTCAACAAGCTTTTGACACCTGCAAATTAAAGTGCACAAATAGGCTGTAATATATCAAACTGTTCTTGGGAAAAGGACAATGAATAAAAACCTGAGAGACCAAAACTAAATTACAAGCATGGCCATTATCTTCCTATGAGATATAAAAAGAGGAAATATAATACCTCCTACCAAGTTGTGAGGATAAAACTCATTAATTATCATCAAGTGTTCACACATTACATGGAGCTCTGGGGGGAGGGGAAATAAGCAAGCAGAACATAATTGCTGTTGAAAGACAAAGGCTACAAAAGGTCTATTACTGATTGATGGATGGACTTTGGGCTTACAAATTGATCATTTTATCTGAGACACTGAGAAATCCAAAGGCCAGAGAATGATTGGCCGTCATGTGTTTCTTTATTTTTTTAAGTACAAGCAAGCCCAGTCATTAGATTCGAAAAGGTCCATCAAGACAGGAGATGAAAAATGAGAGAAGGATCTCCTGACTGTGATATGGAAATGGGAAGAAAGAACACAGAATTTAAGAGATTGCTCTTCTGTAAAGGCTGCAATATGCAAAGGATGAATGGAGACAAATAAAAACTGGCAGACAAGACCTGTGAGATTAATTTCGTCTAATTCTTCAGATCCAAAAGTTAAGACATAAAAGGATCTGTTAAAGGAACCTGGTCAACACAGAAAAACACACACCCAGAACTGATTCAGTTCAGATAACCTTCGACATCTGTCTCAAAACAAACTGAACAGCTCTCTAGAGACACCCACAGTGATTAGTTTAGATATCTAATTTTAATAAATTAATTTCTGCTAATACTTATTCTTGATTGTACTCAAAGATAAATACAGTATCATTTCCTGTGAATAAATGAAGGCTCACAGCAAGGAAGAGGGAAAAAAAATGTGGACTTGTTAGAGGCAGAAAGGAATGGATTGCAAATACAGTTTTACTAACCAGTGCTTCAGAGATGATTCTATTAAAATATCTTAATATTTAAAGAAAAAAAAAAAAGCTGTCTCAAGCATTTTTATTTTTTTTTCAGGCAGGAAGAGGGAAGAATCTGTGGTGTTTACATACAAAGTTGAGATCTAGATGAAGGTCTTTTCAAAAAAAAACACTACCAGATCACTTTATCCTTATCACATCTCAACAAAAAACACTATTAGAAACTTCATTCTAATGAATGGTCAAAAAGGCATAAAAAGAAAAAAAGCTGAAACAGAATTAAAACAGGATATCTGGTCTAAGAAACTTTCCTTTTTTTGTGTGTACTTTTTTTCTTGAAGGAAAAAGAATATCCTGAAGAAAATCAAAACAACAAAGACTAAACTCTGAAACAGCATTTCCTTTCCTGACTTGCCTAACAAATTTGGATTTTTGGTTGTAGAAGTAGTAATCTCAAGATCATTCCCATTACTCCTTAATCATAACAGATACATCACAGCTTTTACTTCACACCACAATCTACCATTATCTGATATATTTAGATTAAAAATTCAATATTTAAGCTTTGTAATTCTGTTTCCAGAGAAGATTAGCAGCCACCATCCAGTGAAGTTAATGAAAACAGAATAATATATTTCAAAATTAGGTTATTTTAAATGAATTTTGCTTAAATCATGAAAACTTTAAAACTCAGGACAGCAGTTTGTGCTATATGAAACAAAGTACTCATAACTCTATATAGCAATACAAAATAGTTCTGCTTGACATGATCTATGTGCCTTCTTTAATTGCCTTACAGCAGAAGCATCAATTACAACAGTGATTCCATCAATCTCTGAAGTATACTTGATTAAAAAGTGCAAATGAAGCATGCTGGCAATTCTGATTAATACATTTACAACATTTTTCTGTGGTCTTATAAATTAAATCTATAATGAAGACAAGCAGTTGTATTATCTCCACTGAAGGTGAGGAAAACTTGTATTGTCTCCAGAACACATTAAGTTTTTTAACAGTTAATGGCAGATAGGGGACTTCACACCTTTTAAAGTAAGAGTTTTAGTGACCCAGGAATTGAAGTAACATACATTTAGTCTTAATCTTGTGATTGGATTTTCAGTTTTCCTAAATCTTGTATCAGCCACATAAATGATCACAAGGTGAATGAAAATAATTATTCAGTGACATTTCACATCTTCTTTCTCCTCATGTGAAAAAAATTGTACAAAAAATGCAAAACAACATCATATGATCCTGGAAAATAAAGCCAGAAAAGGATTCCTTCAAAGTGAACTGAATTATTTACGTTTATCATTTTGATTCTCCAATCCTATAATTATGATTTTATTACATTTAAAAAAGTAAATTACACTGCTGTCGGGTTCTTCATTCTCCCAGCACATTTTCTGCCTTACCAGTAATTCAAACTGTATGAAAGGAGACAGACTTTGAGAATTAAAACATAAAATATTGTCTGGCTCTTGAGGAAACTTTTGAAGACATTTTTAAGTTTCTTGCTTTTTTGCTTCTGCAAAGCAAAGATATAGACTATTTTGATATATAAGACTATCTTTAAAATATAGTTTTAAAGTTTCATTAATATTTTAATTTCCTTAATTTTCTGAGATTACAGGCAATGAAATTAAATGAAACATATTACTTACATCATTCTGATCGTCTTTTGCATTGTAATAGATTATATCATTATTCTGTAAGAGAAAGAAAAGTAATTCTGTTAGTATGAACGTAGAGAATAAATCTATGTAGCAACAACCTCTACTATTGCAAGATACATTTTGAAATATACCACCAGTTCTTTATGTATTCTCTTTGAAACATGACAGACTCTGATCTTTGCTCGCTCTCTGTTGCATGCACAATTTCCCATGCTCATGCTTAACTTCATTCATTCAATGCTTCTTCTGTGGGAGGCTGCATAAGTCACTCAAAACACAGCTAGGAAAGTACAGACAGAGTTGGACAAACTCCAGAGCTCAAAAAAGGCTTCCATAATCTGTTTCTGTGGCAGACATGTGACTTTCACTGTGCAATTAGGGGATTTATGCACCATGACATCCAGCAGGCAGTACAGCGAGGCACGGGCTTTGCTAAGGGGGTAAGTATTTGCTGTACACATGATTATTGTTTTATTCACCTCCCACTGCGAAAATAAAATCTGTGAAAATACATCACAGGAGAGTCTGGCTGTTGGAGTGCACAGCAGATCCTGGCAGCTCTGTGGAAACACTGTACCATGTAATTCAAGCAAAGCATGGAAGGAGAAGATTGCTCTTTCTCGTTGCAAAATCAGTCCAAAATTCCATTTAGTGTTAATGTCTATAGCTTTTTGAAAATGGGGGTATGTTCTGTGGAATACAGGTTTTTGGTTTTTTTGCTGTTTAAATATTACTGATCCATGTAAAAGCCTTGAAGATTTAGGTTCACTGGAATAGCTTTCCACCAAATAAATTGCTGCAATGTGCCCAAGGCTTTTTGAATAAAATCAATTTTATGTGCATTTCTCTATGAAATAGAGACATGTATGAACATAGTCTTTTTAATTACCTTTACTGATTTTGAATAAATAAAGAAAAGGAGAAGTTACATTTTTTCACATCCAGCAGTGTGCTTAAAATAAGTGATTAGTGTTGACCTCCAAAAATTAACTCAATTATTTTTTCAGTTCTGATTATGGTAATACCTTTTATGTATATAAATAAAAAGTCTAACACAACAATGTGTTTTCTTTCATAAATACCAACAGGAAAGATCGCTTTCTGTAATCATTTTTCAAGTGAATAAGCCAACAACAATTTTTACTTTCACTAAAAAAGTGTGACCTGTATTACAAGGTAATGCACTTCATCTTTAAAAACAATCATTTTACTCACTCCATAAATAATGACATCATTTATTCTCCTTTGTGACCTTTTAGAGAGTCAAACATGAAATATATTACAGAAGAGTTAAATACCATTTTGAGGTAAACGCTATTAACATGAATTCATTTTTTCCCTCAAAATGAACTTTTCCACTTTTCCATCAAGACACTCTTCTACCCATAGGTCAGTTGGTTGTGTATCTGTACCTGGATAACAAAGCCAGACCTCAAGGCATTACAAACACAGAAGAAAATTATTTTAATCATTAAACACTTAAGTTAATTGCTTATTCACTTGACTGTTGTAACGAAAAGACCATATAACGCTTGTGGAAGCCTTTGAGTAAGTCAGAAGAGGCAAAGGTTCTATTTTGTTTTCTCTTCACTTTGTAAATAGCTATGTATGAAATGACTGTTCTGTAAATAATGTGATCATTTCAAAAGCCCATATGATTCTTTATCAGGTAACACTGAAACTACAAAGGATGAATCTCTGGGTGGTATGAGCCAAAAATGTTAACACAAGTGTTTTCACCACATAGTGATCTATTTAGTTAAAAATTAATTTATTTATTTATTAAGAAAAAAAAAACCCAAAACATTTTGTTCACAATTCTTTATGTCAGGTTGTGTTAGAGCATCTCCCTTGCAATCTCATCCCTAGAAGGTTTTTTTTCAGGAAAAATGAGAGTAGAAAAAGCAATACAGACATAATTAACTGGCTATATTGTTTTTGCTTACTGCTTTAATTTCTAAATGGAACATTTTTATAAAAGACAATTTCTATTAGGCCCTCTCTTCTACTGACTCTCATCTAGATATGAGTTTATTTCCTGAGCCCCTCTCCACTGTTCTTGTTTATTCTGCTATCAAATCATTATTGTATTGGGTTTTTAACACTGTCATCAATAGATACAACTCTGTTTATCTACTTAAACAAAATGACTCTTTATTTCCACAATTATACTTTCCTTGTCTTTTACATTTTTATTTATTTGTTTAAATTTTTCAAAGCTGGCATAGCTTTACTATCTATCTCTACTGGACTGAACAGTATTTTTAAATCACCTTTTAGAATACAATTTCAGGAACATGATATATTTACAAGGTAATGAAAATAAACACTCCCTGCCACAATGACTTAGATATTTTTTGTTAGGTTATTAATATCTTGTAGTCCATTACCCTGCCTGGAGATACTAACTATATAATGCATAAACCAACACTTATGTTGGACATATCTCACTACTCTTAATATAGAAAGTATGAGATACCCAGTGCTACAACACATCGAATGCTGTATGGTTCACAAATTAGATTCATGGATCACTCAGATCTTTAGAGGACAATTTTTCCTAATTTAACCACTTCTAGCTGGCAAGAACAAATTGCTTTGTTGCTGGCTCCCAAGTAAGTAGTTCAGTTGTTTATTAACTTCTTGACATAAAGAATTTGAATCTTCCCACTTTTGCCACCAAGTAATACTGCAAACTTGGTCAGCAAACTGAAGGTGCAAGGTATATCCTAGGTATTTATTTTTGTTCTTTATCCAGAAATGTTGTGCAAGAGAGGGGGTAAAGACTCACTATTTCTTCTGTTCAGCAATGAAGGGATTTGGTAAGTCAGTCCTGAAGCTGAACTTATAAAAGAAAGACTTTGGGAAACACTCTGCATAAAGCAAAAACTGTATTTTAGTATCAGTATATGATTTTATGGTTTTCACCATCTTTAATTCCTCTTTTATAGAGGAATTCAAAAATTTTCAAAAAGTTTTAGTATCTGAGAAAGACAACAGGAAAGCCATATAAAAATTACATTAAGGACCAAGTAATAAATGTTTTATTTTTGATTCTTACTATTTTCTTTCCTTTTGTAATCTTAATTTTTCCTCCACACTTTCATTGATAGTATTAAAAGCTGAAGTGAGACTATTCCACTGTCTTTACGTTGCTTTTCATTTCTCTGTTTTCCAGTTTGGGATATACAACAATTCTAATGAGAAACATTACATATTGTATACTATTAATAAATTCTTAAATGTCACCACACAAAATCTGATGTTGATGGTCTCTATAATCTCTGTGCCTAGAGAAGAAAAGCATAGGAAAACATCAGCTTTCAGAATATCTGCAGATGAAATTTGAGCTCACACCACCACTAACTTACACTCATATTTTCCTTCCCTACAGAGCAGGTTTACAGATACAGTCTATTGATTCAACACATAAATGCCTAAACTCAATTCAGGATTACATGAATGAAGTTGTAGTTGGCTTTTCATCTCAGGAAACAACACTTTTTTCAACCAAACCTTTCAAGAACAGCAAGGGATTACATTGCAACAAGACATATGGACACTACAGATAATTATGTGTATCAAAAATTGCAATAGTCTATGTCATTTTGCTGGTAGAAATCCCAATCCTCCTTTACAGAGTGCCAAAATGCTGCCATGTAGTGGTGTCTACAGGAACACCTCCTCTCTAAATTTTATACCAGAATTCTGACAACTTTTCATGCAGTATGTGCTCCACCAACTCAAGATCCTTTCTGACGTCTTTTTCAACAGACAGACATCCAAGGCAGTCTATGCAGAAATGCTGCTTTCCTAAAATGGTGTTAGGCCACCAGGGGAAATTGGCTTGAAATGAATTCTAGAACTTTATGACACTCTATAATAAACTACAAGAAAATAAGTATATTATTAAAAATAAATAAAGGAGGAGGAGAAGAAGAAGGTTTTCTACAGCTTTTCATACTGTAAGAAATAAATATATTAATTTTTACAGATATCACAATTATCTTTTTTCCCTAAAAGCTGCATTTCTACAATTGTAGGTAAAATGTTAAAATAAAAAAATTACACTTTTAGCTATTATAGAGACAGTGGAAAATAATTAACTTCCTCAGAAAAGAAAACAGAAGAGCCTTAGTTAAAGGTCTCCATAACTCAAAGATTTTCTTCAGTAAACCCCTAAGAGCAAACTTAATACTGTAGCAGATTATATTGCAAATATATAATACTGCATAATTATAAGTGCATGTTTTAAAATCTGAAATTACATCCGAATATTGTTGGATTTTGAATTTTATTTTAAAACTGGATGCTTCCTTGACCTCTAAGTATTCTACCCAAGTGCTAAAGCACCCAAACTGAGTCAATGTAAAAAAAAAACTGGTCTTCATTGAAGATAATCTTCAAGTACTGAGGATTCTTTTAGTTGCAGGTAAGAGGTAGAGAAAGAAAACAAAATCAGGGAGCGACCAAACCGTACAGCAAATATAAGTCTGATCTTGACTCTTCAGTTTAAACATCTCAGAAATACAGAGAGAAACTGGGAGAAGGTTTTAAAATCATATTAGAGCCACACACTTGGAAAAGACATTCACATTAATGAAAAAACTGGGAGTCCTTTGGTTTAGCATGAAGCAATGAAAATATGAATAATATTGGTCCATTTCACTTTTTAGGCAGTCCAAAAGAAATTAGTGTACATGCCAACAAACCTTAAAAAAGCTAAAAAGCATTTTATTAAGTGTTGGCAAAACATCCATTTTAATTAAAAAAATTTCTTTGTATCCCCTTGGATAAAGAAGTGTATTTAAAAAAAGTTCACTCTAATACCTGTGGGGTAAATAAGGTTTAAACCCATCCTAACAAATTCTATGACAAATAATCCAGGCAGTCTTAGTCTAATCCTTTATACAGTCTGACATGCAGTTTAAGGCACAATTAGATTCCTCATAAAAGAAAGCTAAATATGGCCTACCACACATAAAAAATTACATCTGCTTTTAAAGAGGATAACATTAGTGAATAAAAGCCTG